GAAGGGAAGGGAAGGGAAGGGAAGGGAAGGGAAGGGAAGGGAAGGGAAGGGAAGGGAAGGGGGTGATCATCCAGGGGGGCAGTGTGGAGGGCAGCTTGCAGCGGGCCACTTAGGCCGGCGGGCTATGCTGGTCACGAGGCTGGCAGGCGCGCGTGGGTAACTCTCCACAGCGGGTCCACAGGTCTTCATTACCTCCTTACCTCCTTACTTCTCAGTACCCCTTCTTTAACGTCGGTCATCGATCCTTCGATCCTTGTATGTAGTTTCCCTACGCCTCCTGTGTACCATCGTTACCTTGCTTCCTTTCCTGGGCCCTATCGTTCTGCGGCGCCGCAGGAGCGGCCCCTGCTGGTGCCCCCGCAGCTGAGGCCGCTGGGGGCAGGAGGAGGCGGAGGAGGTGGCGGGCGGCCGCTAGCGCCGGCGCATGGTTTCGGTGCCGATGGCGACGCAGCTGAGGTGGAGCTGCAGTATTTTGTGATGCGGGAGCGACCCGTGGGTCACGAACGGCTTGTGTTTGGGCAGGGTGAGATGCTGAGATATGTAGAGGAATGGTGGTGCTGGTGGCGGGGGGCCCCCCGCTCTCAGCTGTGATGTGATCGTGGTGGCTTCCGGCGTATTGTGGCGCCTCATTCTATGTACCTGTGTACTTAGCTAACAGCTTCCCTCCTCCCGGCCGTCCCCCCAACATACATACATACACGCGTTCTATGCTCCTCGTGTGCAATCCCTCGACCCACCGAGAAGGTGGCTCGGACCGTGCCGTACACCTGGCGGCGATGAGCGAGTCCTTGGACTTCGTAGCGGAGGCGGTTATTCGTCTTACAGCCAAACTGGCGGAGGGAGGCGGTGGCGGTGGTGGTGGCGGTGGCACAAACAGTAGCAGTAGCAGTAGTAGTGGGCCTCAAGGTCGAGGTCGGGGCGGCGGCAGCAGCCGTACATCGCAGCCACCGCATGCTTACTCGGGTGCCGCCAACGTCCCGGACCTGCTGCTGCCCGTGGTACAGAGGTAACTTAAGGACGGGCAGGGCCGGGTGGCTTGGGGGAAAATGAGGCTGGTCCGCAGCATAGAGTGTCTTAAAGTAGAGGACGGAACCCGCGACAGCCGGCCTAGGAGGGGACCCCGGCCAACATCGCCTTTTGTGCTGTAACCCCCACCCCCCCCGGTAGCGTTTTAGACCCCTGTGCGTCGTGAACCTGGGACTGTATGTGTGAAGATAAAATCCGGGCCAGTTGTTTGTTTGCCATCGCGTTGTGATGTGATGTGTCTACGTATACGATGTATGTGTGCATGTATGTGCACGCATGCATGTATGTACGTATGTACCTATGCATGTACCTATGCATGTACCTATGCATGTACCTATGCATGTATAAATTGCATCTCCGGTTTCTTTGTAGCTACAAGGCGCTGGCGGGTCACTGCGTTCGGTTGCTGCGGCTGGAGGCGCTGCTGCTGGTGGGCTCCCATCTGGCCCCCGTGGCGGCCGCCAGCCACCTGTGCGAGGAGGGCGACTCTGTGGAGGTGCGGCGGCAGGGAGGGAGGGAGGGAGGGAGAGCGCGGAGGTACGGGAGGGAAGAGAAGGAGGAAGATCAAGAGGAGGAGGAGAAGGGCCATGAGCACGGGTAGGGGGGAAGAGATTACTTCTTTGCCATCACCTTTGGCATCATATTGTGCCTTTCGGCCCTTTTCCCGCAGCTTCACCCCAGTCTGGGTGCACTCACTCGGACTGCCTTGCGCTGCTCCGAAGACCTGGGGCCCTTCCTGCAGC